CAGTCCAGCCCAGTGCTCCCAGTCCAGCCCAGTGCTCCCAGTCCAGCCCAGTGCTCCCAGTCCAGCATTCCCAGCCCATCCCAGTGTCCTGCATCCACCCAATCCCAGGACAGAGGGACTGGGAGGCTGCCAGGCTTTAATAATTTAATTAGTTCATTAATTACACTGTGGGATCCACTGGAGTGAATCCCACCCATCCCAACTCCCCCTGGGATAAACGTGGCTCCGAGACCTTCAATCCCTGGTTTTCCCCAGGAAAAAAGCCCAGGAGCAGGTGGAGTTTGGGTACAGAGCTCCCAAAAAACCCTTCCAGAGGATGTTCCTGCTCTCCCAGGGATGGATCCAAGGACATCCCGCCTCTGGAATTAAATAATTCCCAGTTCCCAGTGTGGTTCAGTAACAGGACATCACAGCTGGCTCGGGGCCACAGGAGTGTGATCTGGTGTCACAAAATCCAGGGAAAAGGGGAGAATCCAGGACTGCTGGGAGCAGGGAATCCCAGCCCCGCTCCCGTTATCCCAAATACCGCCCTGGAACGGGATATCTGGGAAGGGAAGGGCAGCTGAGGTGGGTCCAGGCAGAGGGAGGGAGGGGGATCCGCAGGATTCGGCTCCTCTCCAGCAGCTGGGAAGCACCGGGAAGCACCCAGGATGCTCCCTCTCTGTTGGGAATGTGGGAATGCTGGGATTGACACCCCCCCAGCTTGGCACAACCCGTTCAGGTTCCCTTCTTCCCTTCGGGATTGCAGGGAAGGTGCAGGAGGGCAAATCCCAGATTTCACCCCCAAAATCCATGGATTTATGCCTGATGCCCACGTGCATCCAAAGTCCTTCCTGCTCCCCTCTCCCTGCCCTTGGATTTCTTAAAAAGCAGGAAATATGTCCAGATAGGGGTTGGATAAACCAGCTGGCACCAGGATGCTCCCAATCCTGTGGCTTCACCCCCTCAAAATCCGTGAGAAGAGCCCCCAGGGATCCATGTTTTCCAGCCCCAAATATTCCCCCTTGGAAAAGGGGGGGATGTAGAACCTCTAAAACAGCCGGAAAAGTTGCCAGGAAGAACCAAATTTCAGGAGATGAGGCCCCCGTGGGATCTGATGCCAGATTTCCTCCATCTCCTCCCATCCCCTGGCTGGAAAAAACGGCTGGAAAAGTCAACGGGACGAAACAAATTTTGGGAGCAGAGGTCCCTGCGGGATCCAACGCCGGGTTCCCTCCACCTCGTGGCTCCAAGGAGTCAGGAACGACGGGAACGGGATGAGCCAGTCGGCTCCAGAGGCGTCCCAGCCGCTGGGATCAACCCCCAGGATTCCCAGCTTATCCCGAGGAGGAAGCTCCCGGGATAACAACTACGGCTTCAGCTTGAGCCAGGGGTGGAGGATGGTGAGGATGGAGAGCACGGAGGAGGTGAGGCCGCACAATCCCACGAATCCCGGGCTGCTCCGGCACAGCCCCAGCTTTTCCAGCGGGATCACCAGGTCGCAGGCATTCCGGAGCAGGTCCAGCAGCAGCGGGGGGTTGTCCCGGAGCACCTGGAGCAGGAGCCGGAGCTGGAGCTGCAGCTGGAGCCGGAGCCGCTGGATCCCGCCGTCGGCCCGGGGCCGGTTTTCCGGGCTCTTCCCGCGCTTCCCGGCCGCCTCCGCGCGCTCCAGCAGCACCCGGATCTCGTAGGCGTCCCGGCTCAGGTTCACCACCAGGGCAAACAGGTAATACCTGGGATAAACAGGGAGCAGGGATGGCACAGCGGGAAGCAGCAGCGGCAGGAGAAGACTCTGGATGCTCCAAATGGAACAGCAGGAGCTGCTCTCCCAAGGGAATTCCATTCCCTGCCCTCACTCGGGAATTCACTGCCTGCTCTCCCTCAGGACGCCCATTCCCTGACCTCCTTCAGGAATTCCAGCACTTGCTCTCCCCACAGGAGTCCCATTTCCTGCTCTCCCCAGGGGGAAATCCCATTCCTTGCTATCCCTCAGGAATCCCATCCCCTTTGAGAGTCCCATTCCTTGTTCTTCCTCGGGAATACCTTCAAGAATCCCATTCCCTGCTGTCCCTTGGGAATCCTATTCCCTTCAAGAATCCCATCCCCTTCAAGAATCCCATTCCCTGCTCTCCCTCAGGAATCTCACCCCCTTCAAGAATCCCATTCCCTGCTCTCCCTTGGAGACCTCATTGCCAACCCTCCAGTAACTCCAGTCCCTCTCCTCTCTTGGGAATCCCATTCCCTGCTCTCCCTTGGGAATCCCATCCTCTTTGAGAATCCCATTCCCTGCTCTCCCTTGGGGACCTCACTGCCAACCCTCCAGTAACTCCAGTCCCTCTCCTCTCTTGGGAATCCCATTCCCTGCTCTCCCTCAGGAATCCCATTCCCTGCTCTCCCTCAGGAATCTCATCCCCTCTGAGAATCCCATTCCCTGCTCTCCCTCGGGAATTCCATCCTCTTTGAGAATCCCATTCCCTGCTCTCCCTCAGGAATCCCATTCCCTGCTCTCCCTCAGGAATCCCATTCCCTGTTCTCCCTCAGGAATCTCATCCCCTCTGAGAATCCCATTCCCTGTTCTCCCTCCGAGAATCCCATTCCCTGCTCTCCCTCCGAGAATCCCATTCCCTGCTCTCCCTCCGAGAATCCCATTCCCTGTTCTCCCTCAGGAATCCCATTCCCTGCTCTCCCTCAGGAATCCCATTCCCTGCTCTCCCTTGGGGACCTCACTGCCAACCCTCC